ATATTATTTTGTAATATTGTTATATATTTTTCTCATAGATTTTAAATCACATTTTCGTATCACAAGAGAAACTTTTGAGCTGTTGATACAACATATAGGACCATTTTTATTGCAAAGAGACAATTGTCCTAAAATACTACCAGCTAAACAAATTGCTATAGCTTTGTGGATATTTGGCAATCAAGAAGTTTACAGGTTAGCTAGTCTATAAACTATAAACCCATACAGCACAAGAACATCCAGCAACATTGCAGCAACATTGCAATGTTACTGCAATCTTGCTGCAATGTTGCTGCATGGATATTCTTGTGCTGTATGAGAATGCACGAAAGATGTTTTTGTTATCCTTAGTCTCTCTGTGTATAGTAAAAATAATAGATGATTGCAATCATTTTTAACGCAATTGAATTTATGCAATATTAATTATGTTTTATTTCAGATCCGTTGCAGACCGATTTGGACTATGCAAAGATACTATATGGAAGTGTGTATTTAATGTGGCTTACGTACTGCAAGAACACGCTGAAAACTATATAAAATGGCCACAGCATTACGAATTATTACGTATACAAGAGCAATTTGCTGTTATGAGCAATTTTCCAGGTGTAGTAGGTGTCATAGACGGCTGTCACATTCCCATTAGTGCTCCTATTGAGCATCCAAATAGCTACATTAACAGAAAAGGATTTCATTCGATAATACTACAAGGTATTTGTGATTATAAAATGAAATTTATCGATGTTTTTACGGGAATATGTGGCAGTGTCCATGATGCACGAGTGTGGCGCTTAAGTGATATCAAAGACATGATTGACCATGATGTTGAAAGATATTTTCCACAAAATACACATTTGTTAGGTGACTCTGCGTACCCACTATTACGATATATGCTGATTCCATATCGTGACAATGGTCATTTAAATAATACACAACGCAATTATAACACAAAATTATCATCAACTCGTATTACGATAGAAAGGGCGTTTGGGATGTTGAAAGGACGGTTTCGAAAATTACGATATGTATACGTCTACAATACCGAAATGATACCTTTACTTGTATTAGCATGTTGTATTTTGCATAATATTTGTATCGATAACGAAGATGAACCATTTGAAGACATTTTAGAGCCAATGGAAAACGAAAATCATAATGTTCTACAAGGTGATGAAAAAAGAGATATTATTGCACAGTTAATATATTAATTTTATATGTAATATGACGTATATGTATATATGATTTTGTATTTGATATAATATATATATTTACATGGCAAATAAATGTTTGTTATGTATAAAACTCAAAACCTATGCCTTTGTCATGAATGCGTATGTAATTACTAATAATATTAATTTATAGAACTTTTTTTTCTCTGTAATATCAAATTTTTAATACGTACAGAAAGAAACCAATAATATTTGTAATGCAAATAAACAATATGCAATTAACAATTTCAAAATGCATCTACTGAACAAATTGTTTGCACGTACATATGTAATCGTTTGGTTCGATAGTTTTTAATCGTTTGGTAAATTCTATTTTACTGTATGAATAATGTCTGTAAAGAGATATGTTATTAAAAGAAATGTATATATGTATATATGCCTAACAGATGCAACAGAAAACTATGGCATCAATATATAGGTATTGTATGTTTTGAAACGGTGGTAACAGTAAACACATTATTTAATAATAATGCATACCTCATTATAAAAACAGTTATGAACACATACTTTATAATAGAATATATTTAATATATTTTGGTAACACATACAAAAACTAAACATATACATATTTAAAATAAATTGTTCTTTTTCATTTATTAACACAGTTTTCATAAATTATATCGTAAATTATCACATCAATCATTGACTTTCAATGTTAATAATGAAAAATAAAATAAATCTTATCTTATACATATAGAAACTAAACGTACATATTTGAACTAAATAGAAAAGTTCTTTTTTTATTTATTAACACAGTTTTCCTAAATTATATCGTAAATTAACACATCAGTCTTTGACATTAAATCTTAATAATGAAAAATAAAATAAATGTTATCTTATACAAACAGAAACTAAACAGAATTTTCGAAGGTTAGGAGAATAACATTTAGATTTCATAATAATATGAAACATACTCGAAAACGTAGTATACTCGTATATTCTTGCACTATATTTTATATCACTGTCTTATACGTAAATTGAAAAGTATAAACCTTTACATATATATATTAAATATTAATATTATAATTTTAAAAATATTATTGTACATATAATATTGTACATAAACAAACATATGCAAACTTTTGTGTCACATATGCAAATCGAAAAATAAAACTTTATAAAATAAATAACACTGTCCTTTTCAAATCGTATATATATGTAAAGGTTATTAATTTAACAAACTTTATTATTAGTAATACTGCTTATTTCACTCATTTTGTTTGTAAATATCTTTAAGTAACGTTAAAAATCTATTTTGCATTTCTATGTTATCCTTATGATGCTCTTCTCTTTGTTTATAAAGTTGTTCATAATATGCTAATTCATTTTCTTGTCTTGCACGTTTTCTGATATTGCGTGTTGTACCATAAGAAGTAGTAGAAGAAGTAGAAGTAGTGTTAGGTACTGTATTTTCATCGTTGGATTCACTACTTTCTTTTATACATACATTTTTTTTAGCAGTCTAAATCCACGTGTGTTCGAAGCAAGTGATACAGGTGTTACTTCGGGTGTAGTATTCATAAACTCGTCCATTAAATCGAAGTATTCCCAAGATACTTTAGCATTGCCAGTCTCATTATTAGCATCACGCACCGACTTATATTTCTGTTTCAAGTTCTTCCATTTAACAAAACATTGTTCGTCAGTTACGTTGTAACCTCTTTTCTTGAAGTTACTTGCTATTTCCTTCCATATTTTTTTCTGCATGCTATTTTTGTTGGTTAACATTGATATATGTTGTCTTATTTCTTCTATCAGCAGTTTTGTTACTGTATTAGTCCACTGGTATCTACAGTTTTCTGTAAAAAAAATAAAAACTGAGTAAAACAATTTAATAATTACATTAATGTCTTCCGTATAATGTGAAAGATATTTTTGCGAAGTAAAATGTTCTTATTTCAAAGACATGGAATATATTTCAAAGCCAATTTTATTAATATAATAAGTTTAGCTAGAACAGAAAATATAAAAACTTTGTCTTACGATATACTTACCGAACTGATCCTGCTCAAGCATGTTTTCCTCAGTTGTGTCCATATTTATAATTACTTCTGAAAAAAATATTTTAATAAACTAATATGTTAAACTAGTAAGAATATTCTTAAACCCAGTGAGAAATGATTCGTCGATCGATGTCGAAACGATGTCGAATCGACGTCGACATCGTCGAATTGACGTCGATTCGACATCATTTCGACGTCGATCGACGAATCATTTCTCACTGGGAAGTCGCCAGTAGTAATTAATAACATCAAATAAATTTTTATTCGTATAAAAATTTATTTGATGTTAATATGTCAAAAATAGAGTGAGGTTATAGTCTACAGTTTCTCTAAAATATATCAGTAAAACATTTAATACATCTATCGCTCAATTGTATATGTACATTTGAAGGAGAATGAAATTTAATTATTATGAGAATAACAAAGCGTACAAATATACTTACTTTTCTTATATTTTTTCTCAAAATTTTGCGACAAGAGAAATTTGCGGGTTTCCTACACTTCCTTATTAATCGAGATATAATCCGATCGTTTCATAGACATGTTTATAAATCCGATTAGTCTAGGGAACTTTCCTTCTAGTCGGTTTTCTAGACTGCGATTAATCCGATTGCAAATCTGATTACTACACGTAAACACCCTGTGGTAAGAGATTCGACACCCCCGGTGAGGTGCAATCCGAGAGCGTCGAGATGCTCTATGGCCCGACGCGTCAATTGCTCCACCACACGCGGGGCAGACCCCAGGCCCTCACGAACAACCACCGGCTCCTCCATAGAAACATCATCATCAGATGATTAGACATCAACCTCACCCTCCATAGAAACATCATCAGATCCTTTGTAGTCAGAGATCCCGAGATAAGGATCACCAAAATCAGCAAACACCTCCTCGAAGGTCGCAGGCTCTGCTGACTCGCCATCTGACTCACAAGTCACTTCCCCATATACATCTTCGATCACACGGAGGGGATCTCCGAAATGAATCGCAAGATGAAGAAAAATAAAGGAAAGAACAGACAAAAGTAACAGAGGCAAGAAAAAAGACGAGACGCCAACGCTACTAACGCTCGACTGGAGAAAACGAACCGGACGACAGAATCATATCCAACTAAAAAGTACCCAGTCGGCGAAATGCGATAAACGTAACGAAAGCCGAAATCACGAGACACGGTAGTGTCTCGCGCCAAGTATAAGCGAAAAGTTTTAAAGTGACAAGCTAAACCACGCGCGCAACACCGACCGTGTAGTTTACGCGAGTGCGCGAGTTGACGGGCCGTCAGAATTTCGGATCTCAACAACGGCTGATCCGACGAACTTGAGACTGCGCTTAATCGATAGCTTGGGTACGATTTGCATAATAAAAGTGTTTTTACTTTTCTCCTACGTGCCCCATGAGTAGAGATATTGCAATGCAAAGTCCACGGGTCTGAATTTTCACGTAATTTTTAAGATACGTCGTCGTCGTCGTCGTCGTCGTCAACCTCCTTTTCATATTTCTGCCGCACGTGGCGCTCGCAAGCGCGGCTGACGTGACTGACGTTACCGACTTATACGAGCGCCGGTAAATAGAGTGAACCTTTGTGGCGATTTATTTAATAATAACGTGTCTCGTAACGTGTCTCGTGATGTCTCGTGATTGATATACAGTATTGTGCGAATTAATGTGAACACAGCGAAATTTAATTATTTCTTGTGTTGGCAACTCTGTTGTGTCAAATCTGACAGTCGTTTTCACTTAAATCACATAACCTTTAATTTAGCATTTAATCAGCGTGAGTTTAAGTTATCCTGCGGGTTATTTTGTGTAAGTTTTATATTTTTGATGGTTTTAAGAAAAAATATTAACATTTATTAGCTTTTCGCTGCTGTCTGACGTCATGGATATCTCGCCGAGGAAAAGGGCCAAGATCATCACACTTAATGAGTACACTTCGATGACGCAGAGAGACATCGCAGACGAGTGTTCTGTGAGTGTGGGAGCTGTAAATAAGATCACGTAAAAAACTTACCTTTTTAAAAAAAAGGTAAAAAAAAGCACCAAGTATAAGCTCCAATTCCACCGAATATATTTTGTTACTCTATCATTTTTGCAAAAGTATATTCTCTACAAAAATATCTTCTCTACAAAACTATCTTCTCTACAAAAGTAATGATACCAACAAATTGCGCCAAATATAACAACGGATATTTATACAAACTAGTTGCTTTAGTATTAGTTTTTGATTAAAAAATGTTATATTTCTTAAAAAATCAAACTAAAGATTTTATTGGAAAAAATAATGGAGTTAATAATAAAACACCGATGAAAAGAATAGCAACTGTTTAGAAATTTAGAAACTCTGTATCTATTCAGGCGAATTAAGGCCTGTGTCCATGACGCTAGTACTTGGTCCAGGTTCTAATTCCGCGAAATATGCAGCCAATCAATGTAGCTGTCCCACAAAAGCTGTAAGTTGATTGGCTACGCAATTCTCAAAACTAGAACTATCTGAAGTTGCATGCACATAGTCCTGGAAATACCGTCTGTTACGAAAAAGCGAGAACTTATTCAAGGGAGTGGCACAAGTTTGGCCACGTTAATATTGACCACAGTCCCGATTGACCACGTTAATATCGACCACGTTGTGTATGACCACGTTGATATTGACCACGTTGCAATTGACCACGGTCCACGCTTCCTACCGGCGGGGTGGGTGCGGGGAGAGGGGCCGAAGGCCCCCCTCGCACCTCCCGCGTGTGTGTGTGTGTGTGTGTGTGCTTTTAGCTCGTGGTCAAACGGAACAGTGGTCAATTGCAACGTGGTCAATCGGGACCGTGGTCAATTGCAACATGGTCAATCGGGACCGTGGTCAATTGCAACGTGGTCAATCGGGACCGTGGTCAATTGCAACGTGGCCAATCGGGACCGTGGTCAATTGCAACGTGGTCAATCGGGACAGATGCTGGTCTGGTCGACGACGACGACGACGACGACGACGACGAGGACAAAGATGTTTCTTAATCCAAAATTTCACAAAACTGACTTTGCATTGCAATTGCACTACAATACCTCCACTCCTGGGGCACGTAGGAGAAAAGTAAAAACACTTTTATTATGCAAATCGTACCCGAGCTATCGATTAAACGCAGTCTCAAGTTCGTCGGATCAGCCGTTGTTGAGATCCGAAAATCTGAGGGCCCCTCAACTCGTGTACTCGCGTAAACTTACACGGTCGGTCTCGCACGCGTGTACTAGCTACGCTTACACTTGGCGCGAGACACTACCGTGTCTCGTGATAATCAAGCAGAAAAGAGAGACAGGGTCCGTTGAAATAAAACGAAAAGGGAAATGTGGAAGAAAAAGGAAAACCACTGTTCGAGATGACACTTTTCTCTTGCGTAACAGTAAATTAAATCCTAGAAAAACTAGCCATGATCTTCAGCAAGACTTACAAAAGATTGGAGTGAACATGAACATCCATGACTCCACAATTCGCAGACGACTCTTAGAAGGTGGAAGAAAGGCAATAAGACCGCAGAAGAAACAACTCCTGACGGTTCCTATGATGAAGAAAAGGTTGGCCTGGGCCAAAAGGTATGCCAAATGGACTGAAGAAGACTGGAGGAAAGTTTTGTTGTCAGATGAGACACACTTTCTTGTGCAAGGGAACCGCTCAAAGTTCGTACGAAAGAGTAGTAACGAAAAGCTTACTGCAGCACACATTATCCAGGCGGTTAAATACCCGGTAAAACAAATGTTCTGGGGCTGCATTTCATATATGGGACCTGGAAAACTTGTGCCAGTTGAAGGAATGATGAATAGTGAGAAGTATAAATCAATGTTGGAACAATATTTGGGTACAGAGCTGGATAAAGTTGAAGCAGTCGATGAACCGATATTTCAACAAGACTCAGCCCCATGTCATGTGTCCAAGGCCATGCAGAAATATTTCAAGGACAAGAGGGTTACACTTCTCGACTGGCCTGGAAATTCACCAGACCTTAATCCTATAGAGAATCTGTGGGCCATATGTAAGGTTAGATTACAAAAGATGGATTGCACGACCAAAACTAAAATGATCGAAGCTGTTATTCAGGTGTAGTTTCGAGATGAGAAGGTTAGGGGAAACTGCCAAAATTTAATTAACTCCATGCCAAGGCGAGTTCAGAAGGTTATTAAAGCTAACGGAGGACATATTTCTTATTAAACAACACAATAACCACTTGTAATAGACCCTAAATAATGTTCTTTTAAATAAACGATATTTGATTAAAAAATCTCTGTGTTCACATTAAATCGCACAATACTGCAGTTGCATAATGAATACAGTCGCGTGTAATGAATAGAGTTGTGTGTGTGACGTGATATGTGGACATTCACACATTCACCACATTCCTCCCCTCTTAAGTATGGTTGGTAACGGTCGGGGGGAATTCCTTTGGTCGATCGGTCCGATCGTCGGGGTTGAAATTCTTCCTGGTCGACTGCCGGGGTAACTACTGGTTCTTCGATGTCTTCAACTGCATCTTCATAGTTGGATTCATCAAGGTTCGGCGGTTGATTGATGTTGATGTCCTGTTGAGGTTGCGGGATGATGATTGGCTCGTCGGCTTCGCCTGTCAGAGTAGTTGTTTCAGGCCAATCGGGGATTTCGAAGGTGTCATTGAACTTGTTTTTGGTGTAACGAGTTTTTAGCTGGTTTGCGTGAGCTTTAATGACTCTCTGGTTGTTTGACAAGTCAAGACATACGTTGTAGTTGGCCTTTCCGACTTTTTCGATGATTGTAGCAGGAGTCCATTGCCACTTGTCCGTTGAAGAGTGGAGCTGGTCATAAACGTGGTCACCCGGCAGAAACTGCTTCCACTTGGCTCCGTGGTGATTGTTGAACTGATGTTGCATCTGCGAGTTGATGACGTCGGTCCAACATGGCTATTGTGGTTTAAGGAGATCCAGCGTGGTCTTTATTCTGTGACTGTTGAGGAGCTCTGCTGGAGATTTGTTGCCGAGATTGTATGAAGGCGTGAATCGGTAGGAATAGAGAAATTCTCGAATTTTTTGGTCAACGTTTCCTGTTGCTTTCTTGTAGCCTGTCTTGAAAAGACCGACGAATTTTTCTCCTTGGCCTTCCGATTGTGGATGATACGGCGATGAAGTCAAGTGTTGAATGCCGTTGGAATTGCAGAAGTCCTTGAACTCAGTGGAGATAAACTGCTGGCCATTGTCGGTTACAATGGTGTCTGGCAAGCCATGTTGAGCGAAAACATTCTTGAAGAATTCAATTGTCTTTGTGGCTGTTGTCGATTTCGTTTCGAAGATTTCTGGCCACTTGCTGAAAGCATCGACGATGACCAGAAATGAGAATCTATCTATGGGCCCAGCGTAGTCTGCATGAATTCTCGACCAAGATTTTTCGGGCACTGACCAGGGCTGCACTTCATCGGAGCTTTGGAGACTGTTGCGCACTTCTCGCAGGTGCGGACGAAGCGCTCGATGTCTTTGGTGATGCCGGGCCAGAAACGTTTGCTGCTGCTGGAAGCAGTTTGGATCGATACTCGCCTGGGTGGCCTTGGTGAAGATGCTCGAGAACTCGTTGACGATGAATTTCGGGTACAACGACTCGTTCGCTGTAGAAAATGACATCATGTGACACTGAGAGGTTGTCGCAAATCAAAAAGAAACCTTCCACTTGGTGATTTCGGATTTGATGTCGTTTTTGTGGCTAATTTCCTTTCTCGATGAAATTGTAGACTGCGGTGAGAACTGGGCAGTCTTTCGTTCCTCGCTGGATGTCCTTGAAGGTGACTGGAAGGCCTTTAGCCGTTTCGATGGCGAAACTGTAGACGATGTCCTTCTTCTCTTGAAGCTGGACTGAAGCGATTACTATGTCTTCGTTTGATTTGTTTTGATTTGATATGAGTCGCGAGAGGACATCGGCGTATCCGAAGCTGTCAGTGTCCACGTAATGAATGTCGAAATCGTAGGCTTGAGCGACAATGGCAAATCGCTGGAGTCGAGCTGCTGAGTGAGCTGGGATGCCTTGTTTTGATCCGAAGATTCACAGTAACGACTTGTGATCGATCTGAGCGGTGAAATGTCGGTTTGCGATGTACACGTGAGCCTTCTTGAGAGCGAAGATGAACGCTCGCGCTTCCTTGTCGATTTGCGAGTAGCCCTTTTCAGCTTGTTGAACGTACCCGACCAGCACATTATCGGGTGAAGATTTCCGTCGTGAAACCGCATGAGAGTCGCTCCCGTTCCATATGCTGATGCGTCGGATGCCAGTACAAGCTTCTTCTTCGGGTCGTAGTGAGTCAAGACGAGATCTGAAGCGAGGATTCTTTTGAGCTCGATAAAAGCGTTTTCGTGTTCCTCCTTCCACTCAAATTTCGTATCTTTGCAAAGGAGGTTGTCCAGTGGTCCGCGTAGTTCTTTCATGCTCTTGATGAATTTTCCGTAGTAATTGACTGCGCCGATGAAGGATCGAAGTTGCGAGACGTCTTGAGGTCTTGGCAGGTCCTGAATTTGCTGCAGCTTGTCAGGATGTGGTCGGATTCCTTTGTTGTCGACAATATGACCGCAAAACTCGACGGAAGATTTTCCGAACTCGCACTTCTCGGCCTGAAGTCTGAATCCTGCGTCCTGAAGTCGTTGAAGTGTCTCGAAGAGTTGCCTTTTGTGATCTATTTCGTCGATTCCGGCTGTAATCATGTCATTAATGAAACCGAATGTATTGGTACCGCTGAGAGTGGTGTCGCTGGAAAATTGCTGGAGCTGTTTTAACGCCCTGCTGAAGTCGGTTGACTGTAAATAAACCGAGATGCGTGTTGATTGTCATCAACTTTTTTGAGCCGTCGTCGAGTTCAACTTGCCAGAAGGCGTCTGACAAGTCAATTTTGCTGGAGGTTTGCTTGCTGGCCAGATGCATGAAAATTTTGTCTGGAGTTAGTAACGGATGTTTGTCAAACTCGAGGCTGTCGTTGAGGCCCGTCGAGTAGTCTGCACAGATGTGTAGTTTACCGTTTTTCTTCTTGACAACGACAATTGGCGCTGCCCACTCGGAGTATTTGCACGGGGTGAGGATTTTCAAATGCTGGAGTCGCTGAAGTTCTGTTGCGACTTGGTTCTGAGCTGCGAATGGAACTGTTCGGGGTTTGCAGAATTTGGGTTTCACCTGTTCTTTGAGCACGAGGGACGCTTTTGTCGTGTTGCATCGGCCAAGTCCAGCTGAGAAGAGAATTGGAAACTTCTTGATGACCTCGGCGGTGAGATCGTTGCTTCCGTCGACTTGAACTGCGTTGCAGATTCGGTTGATTGGTGTGTCCTAAAGGTCAAACTTATTAATCCAGTCATTTCCGAACAAGTTGAGATTACGCGATGAAACGTAGCATTCGGTGAACTCCTCACGACCTTTGAATTTGACGACGCACGGGAAAAGTCCAAGGAATGGGACCGAGTCTCCCGATGCACTTTTGGTTGCTTTTGTAACTGGTTGAAGCGTCGGTCTTCCGAGATGAGCCCAATTCGACTTTGAGATTATCGTGATGTCTGATGCTGTGTCGAACTGCAGCTTGAGTTTCTTGCCGTTGACGTCCGGCTCAATGAATTTTCGCTGAATGTCGACTGAGTTGATATCTGAGACCTGTCATTGTTGGGTCAGAGAGGTTTCGCAAGCGTTTCTGCTGGAGTTTCTTGATGTAAATTCGGATTTCTTCGCAGAAACCAGGCTTGTGACCGGACTGGTGGCAATCAGAGAACTCCTTGTCTTTGAATGGACAATTGATGTGCCAGTGAACGCCGTCGCAGAATTTACATTTCGGTTTCCAAGGTCCCTGATTGGAGTGGAAACTCGATGACGATTGTGGATTCAACTGAGACGAACTCTTGTTGGGAAACTGCTTTCCAAGGTCCCTGATTGGAGTGGAAACTCGATGACGATTGTGGATTCAACTGAGACGAACTCTTGTTGGGAAACTGCTTTTGTTTGTTGTAGCCCTGACGAACTGCGTGGACTTCTGATCCTGAAGATGATACAACGACGGTCTCTTTATCCTTCTCCAGGCTTCGCATGCGATAGCACTCGTCCAGGTCGTCAAGCTGGAGTTTTACGAAAGCAGCGATCTGAGCTTGGTCGGTGAGCGCTTCGAATTGTACGTATTGGTGCTCGACTTTTGTCAGGAGAGAACGCGTGACTCTTGGGCTTTTCAGACCACTGACAAAAAGCAGAACTTTGAAGTCATCGGCGGTGCAGCTGGTGATGTCGAATTTTTCGGCGTGTTTATTAATGCGAGCTGCATACTGGCTGTAGTCCTCATTGTCTTCCTTATGAAGGCTGAAAACTTTGTGACGAAGGCTAAATTTTGTCTGTCGATGTCCAAAGAGCTTTTTCAGTGATTTAATGGTGTCAGCAAAAGAGATTTCGTGGGTCTTTTTTGGTAGGATCGAATCTGCGTATCGCTGAAAATCCGGAGTGCTGAATTTTTTTAGGAGTAATCGGATTTTTGCGGTGTCGGTAAGATCATTGTTTTCGACCTCAAAGATCGATTTGTATCGAGCATAGTACTGCTCGAAGACTGCGTTTTCGTCAGGGTTGTACTCGAATGGGAGCATTGAATCGGTCAGATCTTTGATCCTGCGAGAACTGGAGTCGCCGGGAAGGTTAAGTTGCTGCTCACCTCCGACGCCAGGTTGCTGACGCTGAAGAAGTTGTACGATAATTTGTTGCTGTTCGGGCATTTTTTCTTGCATGAGCTTTTGCGACTCAAGCAGAGCTTTGGCGAATTCCTCCATTTTGTGAGATTGGGTTGAGATGACGAAATCTATTGTACTCACTCGAAATCTATTGTACTCACTGCACTGTTTTCTTTTCACGCGCGAATTCTATCCCATCCTCGTCGCCACTGAAGTAAAACCCTGTATGTCGAGGCAAATAAGGACAAGGCTAGGGGTACTTCTATAAATATGAAATATATATTTTGCGTACGTATCGGCGGTGATAGAAAACTAACTGGCATTTGTCACATCAATAATAGAGAATATAGTTGCATAATGAATACAGTCGCGTGTAATGAATACAGTTGTGTGTGTGTGACGTGACATGTGGACATTCACACATTCACCACAAAATGCAATAGCCAATTTCTTGAGAAACAATAGGTTTGTTCGTGTTGCTTGCACTCTTTGCACTTAAGTTCTGGTGAGTTTTCTAGTAAATCTAGAGAGTGTAGTGATCGAACGAGTTACTTGTAATTTTAACTTAGATGACAAAGTGCAAGAAAGCAGTCTCGCGACTTTTGACTTTCGTCTCCCGGTTGAAGGCGATTGGCCATCCCCTCGCCTTTGAGTAAACATATCTTTAGAAGAAGACGAAGTACAAAATTGTTGACATGGTAGATCACATTCCAGACGAAATATTAGACTTATTTGATATTTCAGACGATGAAGAATTACAAATACCTTTACTAATTCCTCCTGTTGTACCTATACATCCACATGAAGAATGGCATGGTAAACGTAAAAATTATTTACTTGTACTAAACTGTAATAAAAAAAATTAGTGATTTCTTCAAGCGGTAATACGCAAATCTTATTTGCCGGACGTTTAAAAGTTCCTTTAACTGTCTTGACACTTGCTACTCTAACGACTCCATCCGTGCCTGGGTGTACAGCTTCAATGCGACCTATGAGCCACGATTGAGGTGGCAGATCGCCTTCCCGAACAATCACCATTTGACCTGGTTCAATGGTCTTCCTCTTACTCTCCTTCTATTTCGTCCGCTGCTGCATCTGATGTAAGTAGTCAACCGACCATCTTTTCCAGAAATGCCGCATTTGTTCGACGCGCTGCCATCTAGACAATCGGTTCTCCGGTAGTTCCTGCAAACATGGTTCGGGATAGGAAATGAGGGAATCCCCAGTCAAGAAATGGCCAGGAGTTATGTAGGACTGGTCTTCAGGATCAGTGGACAAGGGTCTCGAGTTTAGTATTGCTTCAATCTGTGGGGGTTTTCCAACAAGTTACACAGACGACACAGTGTAACACTGTGTCCGACACAAAGTGTTTCAACTACGACACAGTGTCGCACTGCTCGACACAGTAAAAAGCTAAGTACAAGCGTGTAAAATATTCCAGTGTTACCAACATTTAGAAAATTTTATATTTAAAGTGTGGTATTAATGCTTTTGAACATAACCTATAAATAATATAATAGTATACGAAGCCTACGAATGCCTACGAAGGTCGAAGACGTTATTAGAGGTAGGCACAGAACATATATAAGAGGTAGGTCTACCGCACAAGCTTTTCTGCAACGCGTTAAGTTCTGAATATAAACTTAAATCCGTACGTAGACTTAGTAATTCAACGCACAAAGAAAATAACGTATTATTGCGTCAGGCGTTTGCTACTTTACGATTTTCTTTGTGCATTGATTGAAATTTAAGGTTACGAACGGTTCCAAGTTTACTTTAGACCCGGTTGCACCAACGTCACCTAACTTTAACTTTAGCTTAAGCTTAATTTACTCTTCGTCTCTTTCTGTTTCCCTTAAAAAGAGACAAATGGTGAGTTAAGCTAAGGTTAAAATTAAGCGACATTGGTGCAACCGAGCCTTACCCAGTGAGAAATGATTCGTCGATCGACGTCGAAATGATGTCGAATCGACGTCAATTCGACGGTATCGATGTCGATTCGACGTCGTTCC